GGTACAAGCTAAAGACTTCTAATCTAAAGGAGCTAGGGTAGTTCAGATCCACCTCCAAGGAGTCTTAATCCTAGAAGGATCTGGTCATTTAAGACCACCATAAAAAAAAGGCTTCACGACCCTTCTTGATGTTAGAAATATGTCATAAAGCCAAACATGTGATGTTGCTTTCTGGATATTTTACCATAACTAATGGGAAAGATCGTTGTTTTCAACCATGATACTAGGTATATTATCATAACAGTAAAACAACAAGTCCTTGGAATATGAAATAGTATGAGAGCTATGAAATGATATTGGATATAAGGAGACCTTTCATACTTCCACATCATTTCCTAAATGTTCTTGGTCATAGGATTATCAATTGGGCGTTGATCATCCACAAAGACTGGTACACACTATATAAGCTTGATTGGGAGAATGACTAGTCTCAAGTTATTATGTGTAGAGACACTAAGATAAGTGTGTAGTGCTTATAGTGACAAGTACACTAAACGCGATCAAACCATGAGTTCTAGGATGGTTATAGAGGTACAAATATGATGCATGTTGATGAGTAATTCGTCCAACCAGTCAGAGTGAGTCAGACCAAGTCAACCTTACCTCAAAGATAGACTTAGCTAGGTACTACACTTCTGTATGCTTTTTGGCCTTACTTGGAATGACCAAGTAAGACGGCGGTTGGTCTCTCTTCTTGAAACGAAACAAAAAATGGTGTCTAAAAAGGTGTATGATGCCTAAGTCAGTCTTTTTGCCTTAAAAGAGGTTGCCAAAAGTACTGTACTAAGATATGGAGAAAGTTCAGACTACATTTTTAGGTGAAAAGTACTCCCTTTTTATACTGAGAAAGTTGAACCTCACTCGTGTCCTATTTCAATGTGGGACTAAGGAGTCGATGATGACATGACATCTTCTGAGTGTGTGGTTAGTGACGGTCTGACGCGTGTCTCTCCATTTTGGAAAAAAAACGTGCATTAGTGGAATATTATGTGGGCCTTTAATGGTCTTTCAGTTTCCCATGCATGGGCCTCTGAGGGGAGGTATCTTGGCGCTAGATATGCTGGGCTCAATCGTGTAAAACCTTAGTGGGCCTTCCCTACCCCTTTTTGGGTCTCCTCTAGTGTAAGTGCCCGTTTGGCATTGCTTATTTGGGGTGATAAGTGATTTTTTTAAAATTTTGGGAAGTCCAACTCGTTTGGTAAACTATGAGAAAATCACTTATTGTTAAAAATTGATGTGAGAGAAAGCTATAAGGGAAAGTAGCTAATGAGGTGCTTTCATTTTCTGATTATGTAGGAATGAGTTTCGAAGAGGCGCTGGGTTTAATGATTATGCGGCAATCATTTTCTGATTATGTAGGAATGAGTTTCGAAGAGGCGCTGGGTTTAATGATTATGCGGCAATCATTTTCTGATTATGCTGGAATTAGTACCAACAATACTTTTAACAAAAAGTTTACCAAACGCCAAACTGCTTTCTCTCACAGCAAATCTGACAGCGATTATTTTCACAGCACAACAATGTTAAACTGGCCCTAAGTTGAAAAACAATAGAGAACTCAAGAATAGTTTGATGGGCTTATCTCCATCAACACGATGAAACAACTATTTATATTAGCAAAACAAATGTATCAGTTACAAAGATTACATCGTATCCCTATATACGTGGGAGCCAAAATCATACATTTGAAATACAAACAAAAACCATATCAGATTACAACTGAAGAAGTCCACACAAACTAAGACTCCTTATCCACACCTGTTATAGAGTTTGAATTTGAACAAGCAGATAAGCTTTGTCTAACATCCCCCGCAAGCAGATAGGATGAGAACTAATGGGAAGCTTGGACACCAAGTATTTGAACTGCACAGTAGACAGCCCTTTGGTAAAAAGATTAGCAATATGATCTTACGAACAAACAAAATGAACAAGCAATTCTCGTCGAACGACCTTCTCTCAAACATAGTGATAATCAACCTCTAAATGTTTGGTTCGAGAATGAAACACAGGATTGGAAGCCATAGCAAGTGAGGACACATTATCACACCAAATATGGGGAGGAGATCAACGAAGCTGTAAATCCCGAAACAAAGAACGAAACCAAGAAAGTTCCACAATAGTATACACAAGTTGTTTATATTCAGCCTATGTGCTAGACCTTGACACAGTCATGTGCTTCTTGGAACTCTATGAAACCAAATTCTTGCCCAAATAGACACAAACCACATGTGGAATGTTGTGAATATGGATTTCCGACATAGTTCACATTAGAAAAGGCATGAAGTTGCAAGTCACCAAGCCGATACACTAATCCATGATCAAAGGTATGCTTCAAATACCGTAGGATTCTCTTCACTGCAGACCAGTGAATAATCATAGAATTCTGCATGAACTGACAAACTTGGTTGACCGGATAAGAAAGATCAGGGCATGTGATTATAAGGTACTGCAAGGCATCGACAACACTTCGATATAAAGCCGGATCAGAATAAGACTCACTGTCAAGAGCACTTAGCTTCTAAACACTTGTGGTGGCCGTGGAAATAGGCTTTACTTCAATAAATTTTGTGCGAGAGAGCAAGTTCAGTGCATACTTGGATTGCGTCTAGTGCATTGAATCACCACTGTAATCAACTTCAATTCCCAAGAAATAGTGTAGTTGTCCCAAATCCTTCATAGAAAATGAAGTGCCAAGTCGTCTAATAAGTGTAGAAACATGTGTTTGGTCATTGCATGTCACCAAAATATCATCAACATATATTAACAGAATCAAATAGACGCCCTTTTGATTGTAGACAAACAAGGAATAATTATACTTTGATTCTTGGAAACTAAGTTCAAGTAAATAGTCAGAAAACTATTGAAACCAAGCTTTGGGTGCTTGTTTCAACCCATAAAGACTGCGTTGCAACTTGCACACATGTTGAGGAAGTTGCGAATCAATAAATCTGGCAGGTTATCGCATATACACGTCTTATGTTAGAAAACCATGCAAATAGTACTGGCCATTTATTTGAGACTGCCAAACTTAGAATCAGGCGAATAGTACTATGTTTCACAACTGGACTAAAGGTCTCACTGTAATCAATACCACGAGTGGGTGGTGCAGCACCACGCCCACGTCCTCGATAACCACCACGTCCACGAGCAGCAACAAAAGTCGTAGGTCCATTCTTTGGCATAGGAACAGCTTGCTCTGCCATTCGTCACTCAGCCGTCAAAAAAAGAGCTTCAAGGGTGTCATATGTGATTGGAGTGTCACGAGCTTGCACTGCACTCACGATCATTTCATAGGCTGGTATGAGATTATTCATAATAATCTGGACAAGTTCATCATCATCCACTGCCCTTCCAGAAAGAGCCAGGTTGTCACCAATAGCATTCATGCAATCAAGGTAGTCACTCATGGACAAATCACCCTTCATGGTTTGAAGAAACTCATTGCGTAGGTGCAAGATTCTATTCTACGAGGCAGAGGCATATCTGTGCTCCAAAGCTTGCCAAGTTGTGCGAGAAGTCTGATTTCTTGACATGGTAGAGAGAACAGATGAAGTCAGAGAGCTATTGATCCAACAAAGGATCAGTTGATCCTGTTGAACATAGGTGGAGTAGGTAGGATTCACACTAGTACTCCCGCAACATTCTTAGGAGGACATTCACTGGTGCCATCAACGAATGACATAAGATCCCGACTTTTCAAAAGAGGAACGATCTGAGCTAGCCATAATGGATAGTTAGATCGATCTAGTTTGATGTTGACGATGGTGGGTATGGAAGGAGCAGATACAACATTGCTGGTATGGGAATTGTTGGTTGCCATGAGTTTGAAACAAGTGTGGAAATAAAGTTCAAGTTGTGAGACAGAAGGCTCTGGATACCATGAAAAACAATAAAGAACTCAAGAATAGTTTGATGGGCTTATCTCCATCAACACGATGGAACATCTATTTATATTAGCAAAACAAATGTATCAATTATAAAGATTACATCGTATCCCTATATACGTGGGAGCCAAAATCATACATTTGAAATACAAACAAAAACCATATCAGATTACAATGAAGAAGTCCACACAGACTAAGACTCCTTATCCACACCTGTTACAGAGTTTGAATTTGAACAAGCAGATAAGCTTTGTTTAACATAAGTAAGGAATCTCAGGCTGACCTTTAGCCATTTGAGCGCAATTACTTCCTTATGTAATTTTGGCTTTATTTCTTGGGTTCTTTTTGGCAAGCCCAATGGATATTTGGTATCAACAATGCATGCATGTATAATTTCTACTCTATCACATATACGAAATGGGATAAGCAATAAATTGAAAAATTAAAAATAATTTAGAAATATAATTAATAACAAATAATTATATATATTACAATCTAATATAAAGAGAGTCACAATCTGAAGCAGAGATATGCTTAAACTAAAGTGGAGCTTCGAGGCAAAGAGTTATAGATGAATAGAATGGCTGACTTTCAACTAGGGCTAATTTTTGGATGGATCATACTAGAATAAGAGGATTCCAATTCCATTCTAAAAAATTTTGCAATGAAAATTCTTTTCCATTTCCGTTCCAAAAAATTTCAAAATTTCAACATCCATTCCAATTTGGAAAACTCAGAATTTTCGGAATTTGTGGAAAATGTTGAAACTTGCATAATTCGAAAAATCATTGAAAATTTTAAACTTGTCTAACTAGTTGAAAGGTTAAACTTGGCTTAAAATTGAATAATCATACGTAAAAGCTCGAAAAACTATTATATACTATCATTTATATGTTGTTATCCTTTATGAAATAGCTCGTCCATGTCTATTTGGTCATTAAGTCATATCTAATTCAATATAAAACTAGCCATTATGTGTAGTTTAAGCTTGAACTCTTGATATATTTTGGAATTCGGAATCTTAAAATACATTTCAATTCCAATCAATTTTTTTTTTGAATTTTGAATTTTAGAACTTTTGAACTTGCCAAAATCAAAAATTTTAGAATCGGAATTTCCAATACAACTATTACCCCTACTTGCAGCCTATGGTTGGGGAGAATTCTCAAATTGAATGTATTATCGGGGAAGAAGAGAGGGGATTGGCTAAGTTAGATTGCTAAACAAAAAAAAAAACAAAAAAACATTTTGCTGCTCATAAAACGCAGCGTTTCTTTTAAAGTAGTGGCAGCGTTCTTTCAAGAAATAATAATAATCAGACAGGGGCAACGTGTTAAAAGATAAACTCCAGCAGCACCTCAAAACGACGCGTGGCCTTCTTCTTCCTCGCGCAGATGCGCCTCGCAGAGCCACAAAGCGGCAGTGAAGCTCGCCGCCGACGCAAATGCTAAGCGTGCAAACAGCTAAATAACGGAACTCCTGAGCTCCGACGAGCACCTAGGCAACGCCTTCGGAAACCTAGATCTGTAATAAATTCTCATGTCTCTCCATTTTCAATTAATAGAAGCATTTTTTCTTTTCTAATAAGTAAGTAATTGTTTGTAGGTAGAATATCAATTGAGCTTCAGTAGAAGCCATCAATAGTAATGTTTAGAAGACACAATGTTGCTGCCAGGATTTTCGACCGCCAAATTTCCACTGCTGCTCCTGGCACTAGTGTACCTTCTTGTTACTCTTTACCTCTTGTTACTGTTATTATATTATTATTAATATAAAGCTGCATGGACAACTACTTTTTGCTTCAGGCTTTTATTTATTTATTTATCTACTGTTTTTTGTTGCTTGTTTGATTTTTCTGGGTTGTTTAATATATTTTTCCGCTTCCTGTTCAGTAGAATTAGAAAATTTTTGTTCTTTCCTATGTATATCTTCATTTTTTCCAGAAAGCCAAGGTCTTGCTTCTGTGGTGATCTTTATCACTAACTTCACGTAAATTTATCTTTTCTTCTTTTTCTATCTCTTTCTTGTATGACATGTTTATATAAAACTTAGAATATCTAGAAATGAATAGGGGACTGAAGTGGAATGGTAAAAAATGTTGCAATATTCTGTTCATACACTACAGAATCCTGAGTACTACCTGTAATGCTAATGCTTGCAGGTTCACCATACTAGGCGATTTTACGAGAATTTAGTCCCTAATTGTACCATATATGAAGTTGAGTGCCCAGATCATCTATACCGTAAAATCACTGAGGATGGTCAATACCTCATATGTTTCAGTAGAAATCATCAGGATCTGATTGTTTATAGACCAACGTGGCTTTCATATTCATGCAAAGAAGAATGCAATACTAATGATCTTCCCCCAAAAGCAAAGAGGTTTGAGAGCTTCTTCAGCCAACTGTACTGTGTATCACTTGCTTCTAGCAATGAGCTTATATGCAAGGACTTTTTTCTTTACATGGAGAGTAACCAATTTGGACTATTTGCTACTTCTACTACACAAAATCATGATGCGCCTGTTGGAGGAGCTGTTCAGGGAGTCCCCTCAATAGAAAAGATAACTTTTCACCTCTTGAGGTCTGCTATTGTTTTTTTCTTGTATAGATTATAATTTAACAGAGAACTTATGAAAGTGAAATGTTATTGGGTGTTTTTGGAAGCTTAGTCTATGCGTTACTTATTAGTTTGATAATCCTTCTGATGCTTAGATTGGAAGATGGAGTTGTTCTGGATCAGAAGTGCTTTCACAACGATTTTATTAACCTGGCCCATAACATGGGTGTCTTCTTGTATGATGATTTACTGGCAATTGTGTCAATTCGCTATCAAACAATACACATACTGCAAATCAGGGACTCCGGGAACCTTGTTGACATACGAGCAATTGGGACATTTTGTCGTGAAGATGATGAGCTTTTTCTCAATTCAAGCACTCAGGTTAGTGGCATATATTTCAAGCCTTTACTGAGACTTGGATGAATGGAATTTGCTAATATCTTGTCTAATAGGATCAATCTATGGAAACTCTGAATTCGTTGTTGACGAAGACTCTTGTGTTGTGTTTTGTTAAAAATAGCAATAATGAAGTAATAATTGAAGGCAACAAAAATTTGTACTACAGGTTCAAAACTTAGTTTTCCATTCTGTTTGTGGCTATTGTGTGCTGTTAGTATAGGCTGTTTACAGCTGGGAGATTGATTTTGGTCTAAGCTTGAAGTCATAATTGAAGGCTTCTTTGTTAAGCCTGATTCTAGGCTAATTTTAGAGCAGATTTTATGTCCTGGATTCAGTATAAACACCTGTGTGTTATACTCTAACGCGGTGGATAATAAGAAGATTGTTTTTTCGTATCTTGCTCTATTCCCAGCACTTCATCAGAGCAATATGCTCCTGAGACCGAAAACTCTGCCATCCTAACCATACCCGGACCACTAAATAAGGATTAACCCACATTTTCCTTGCCTTTTCATTTAATCATCCACACAGTTTAGTAACTAATGCAGATTTTTCCTCATTTATTTTATCATGAAATTGACAAAGTTTGGTGATTAGAAATTCTTTTTAATGTTTAATATGTCGAGCATTCAATTTTCAAATCAACTTTTGATTGATGGCAGAATATGCTTAGTCATGAAAAAGGTAAACTGCATCAACTGCCTGAGAATCCTGTTGAGAATGGTTTACATCAGAGTGAGCCTTCATCAGAGTATTGCTTTCTTAGTGGAATCAAACAGCGGTTGCTCTCTTTCATATTTAGAGGAATATGGAATGAAGAACCAGATCAGGCATTGGTTGGTTATCTCTGTCATTCTATGGTTCATTGTTATTTAAATGCTTTATCTTGCCATAGCACTTTGGAATATGTTTTCCAAGCTGCTGCAACACATCACTTTGGAATATCTTTTAGATGGGGTTGCAGCAGATGTGATTTACATTAATGTTTGTTTACCGGCATTTTCTGAAACCATTTTCATTCTCTTAGTAAGCTCTTGGGCTATGTGGATATGGTACACTTTATGCGTGTAGTTTTTATAAAATAAAATTGTACGAATATTAAACTCCTTTTTGGCACAGAAAATTCAAATTTAGGTGGAAAGATGTTTAGCGTTTTTGTGCTTGCATGTAAGTATTTATGCTCTCAGGCACGCATGTACTGATCTACTTCCAGATTGTGCAGAAATGATCTGAACGATAAGTGATCCAATGTGAAACACTATCTTAAATAGTAACCTAAGTATGCCCCATAACCTAGCTAGTACAAGGCACTGGAGCATATCAATTACCAGGAAACAAAAGCATATCACATTCCTAAAGCTGTACCATGAACCTAAATGTGCCACCATCCTATAAACTTTAGGGTAACACTAATGTGCAGACAACAGTGCCAATCCCTTAAAAGATCTGGGTTATATGATAGACTGAAAATCTTTAAGATAGAAGCACAAGTATTTAATATGATGTTTAAGCATCCAACCCAAATGAAAATCTTGCACCAGGCATTTATTTGTTTTGAATTACTTGATATTATGCTTCAATTGGAACATTTATTTGTTCTTGCCTATGTGCATTATTTTTTGTTTGTCATTAGCTCTTATGCAACCAGTTTATTTGTATGTTTTGCAATAAATGTTTTTAATTTAATTAATCTAACTTATACGACTTTTTCACTCCAGAGGGTCCAATCCCTGAAGAAGAAGTTCTATTTCCATTTCCAAGACTATGTTGACTTGGTGATCTGGAAGGTAGGGCTTGCATTATTTTTCTTTAAAATGTAGTTATATATAGTACGAGACTTCTGCAATCACTTGCATAATCTTCACTGCTCCATATAACAGGCAATCTGATAATGCGCACCAAATATGACATGTAACAAGTTTGTACACAACTCTTGGACAGGTACAATTCTTGGACCGGCACCACCTGCTAATAAAGTTTGGTAGTGTAGATGGAGGGGTGAGACTTCTTTCTAGCATTACGTTCATATCATACTCGTTCTAAGAAATATAAACTTCATGTTTGGACACTCTTTGATCACATAATTTAATCCTCCATCTGTGATAGGGTCCCTGAAGGAGAGGGGATAAATTACTCTGTCGTATTGAACCCAGATGCTTTCTGGAATGAGTCACCCTATCCATTGTAGTTGTACCATTTGTTCAACAGAGTTGACATCTGAATTTGACCAAGATTCTTTATATTTAGTTGTAGATTTTTGGTCACTCTGGTATTTTTATATTTAGTTGTAGATGTTTGGTGTCACTCTGGAAAATATGAATCTTGCTCCAAGATTCTTCATTTGTAGTCTTTGACATGTTCCCACTGCACAAATGTCACAAGATATCTTTAACATGTGCCTTTTGTACAAATGCTGGCACACATCACAACAGCTTAAGCTTTCAGGATAGTGGTAAACTAACAAACATTATCAGTATTAATGTGGGTTTCCCAGAGTTTGCATTCTTGTGCTCAATGGGCTTTGTGCTGATTGAATACTTGATAATGTTGGTATTTTTTTTTTTGTATCATTGGAGCAGGTATCACGTAATGCTGATCAGCACCCAGCCTTTTTTGCGGTATATAACATGGAGACAACTGAAATTGCAGCTTTTTATCAGGTAATTTTGTGGCAATTGTTTTCTGTTTCTTTCTTCTGTTTTCACAGATCAAAACAAGACTTTGCTTTATTTGACATTTTTCCTTGTAGAATACGGCAGATGAGCTTTATCTCCTGTTTGAGCAATTCTGTGACCACTTTCATGCAACATCAAGAAATTCATTGTATTTGAATTTCATTTCATCCCACTCAAATAACATGCATGCTCGGGAGCAACTAAGAAGTGCTAAAAATAAAGCAAGTAGTTCTTTGCAGGTGAAGTTTCACTATCAGAATTAGTTACATGCAAATCTTATACAGCAATGCTACCTGTTACTTTTGCATCATTAAGGCATGATAGCAAGGTTTATTTATCAGTATGGTTACCTTCTGTGCCCAAACCGCATAGCAATGCTTCCAGTTACTTTTGTATCATTAAGGCATGATAACAAGGTTTATTTGTTAATGTTGTGGTTGCATTCTGTATTTAGCTTTGTGCCCAAACCTCACATATAATCAGTTGATGATCCTGCAGTTTGTGAAGAAGATGCTAGTTTCTTTGCCTTTTAGTTGTCAGTCGCAGAGCCCTTCTCCCTACTTTGACCAATCTCTTTTTCGCTTTGATGAAAAGGTTTGATTCAGAAACTAAAAATTTCCCATTCCATGAACTGCTTTGTTTGCATTAAACCGAGGAATATATTCTTTTTATGTGTATGCTCCAGTTATCTTTAGCAAGAGAAAACCTACGCAGTCCAAAGTCGACCAAATAAACTAATTTAATTTTTTAAACATTGGAAAACTATTATAAAAACATAACTACAGAAACATCAATAAGACCAATCTTCTTGCATCAAATTGCATCTGATGGAGTTTTGCTTTGTGGTTTGTCCTGTGCAAAATTTAAATGACATCGCGTTATATATTCTACCTTTATGTAAATGGATATTTTTGAATCCGTTTGTAAGGAAAGCTATTTCCACATCACAAATTTTTTAGTTGACTGTTTGTGGCAGGTTTGAGTACAGGTTCTATGTTTGGTTTTTGTGTAGTCATGTGAATTGCTTATGCTGTGTGCTAAAATCAAATCAATCAAAATAATCAAAGAAACTTTTTTTTGAACTGTGATATAATCTACGAGGGTTTAGTCTTGTGGTCAGGCCCGTGGTTTGTTCCCACGTGGTCTAGGGTTAGATTCTTTAAGGCTGTGTCCAGCTATTTGCTAGAGTTTCTTGCCTCCCAAAAATCGTAGGGTTTCTCAGGAGCCCCAGTTTGTTGACATGTAACGCACACGAAGTCGAAACAATTGAAAATTTAGAAAAGTAGACGGGTGAGCACACCCGCTCATTCTTGTGTGGTTCTCTCCTGAATGTGACACAATGCATTTTGATACCTTATGGGCAAATCAGTTTTGTCAATTCAACCCCCTCTACTAAGGTTTCACAATTTCAAATGTGTTTCTGGTGCAGTTGATTTCTGCGACTGATCGGCATAGACAGTCAACAGACCATCCCATCAAGTTCATCTTAAGAAGGCCACCAAATACGCTGAAATTTAAAATCAAGACAGGTATCTATCATTTACCAGTATTGTTATTTATATGTATACATACGCGCACATACATACATGTATACGTATATATAGGGCCAGGATCAGGGGGACATACATTTTTAACACAAATTATACATTTTAAGCCATTAGATTTAAACACAGTCAAAGAAAATAATATATCTTGAAACTTACAATAATAAAAAGTGTGCTTCAATTCTTATTCTCTAATCTCTTCCCTCTCTCCACCAATCCTGAAGAATAAAAAATATTTTACTGCACGTTATTCAATATTGGTCTATCTTTCCACTCTAGATGTGATGTGTTCTTCTTACTAATTCTTTTCCTCTCTGCAAACTGACAGAAAAAAAAAACTCTTCTCATTTCTTACCCAAAAGGAAACCTCTTCTGTCTCACCATTTTTTCTCCTACAAACTCTCCTCTCCCCATGATTGAATTTAAAAAAAAAATAATAAGACAAAATTAAATTAGAAAAAAAACCAAACGTAAAACCAAAAGTTGGTCTGCCTACACTGCTTCCTCCATCTCAAAACCTGAACGCTACTTCTTCCATTATGTAGCTCATGACTTAATCACCCTTGCGCTTTAAAAATTCACACATACAATTTAACCCATGTACCTAGTTAATTTCATTAACATATCTAAAAACTTGAGCGGATTTATTTCACTTCCTCAATAAACTGTGGGTTGAAGAAATTTATGGAAAAATGACAGTTTCCTCTTCCTCCAACTCAATCTTTTTCTGAATGTGATGCCACTCTGATACGGGAAGTTTGGTTCTCTACTGGAGGCTGAATTTGTAAAGTTTGATGAGAGTGACAAACTCTGCTAACGCATGATTTCCGGCTAGAGTACGAAAAAGTTTGATTTCAATAAGAGAGAAGAAACCAGATGAAGTTTAGTGCTTAGTTTCAGAATTAAACGGAAACAAAATAATCTAGGAGAACGAGACACCACATTTAATGAGAGAGACTAAATGCCCCACCTCGTCAAGTGTGCAACAAATAACGAAGAGAGAAAATAATGAAGTTATTCGTTGTGTGAGATGCATTTCTATCCGTTAGATGATAAAAGATGTGAACTTTGAGAAAGTGTGTAAAAAAATATGGCTTTTTGTGTGTACCTTGAACCTGACCCATACACACACACACACACACATTGGTGATTGATTGTAAAACCTAAGTTGAGGATTTAACTTAACGGCCACATGTGAGGTGCAGCTTGCAATGTGATCAAATCTTTGAAACCATGCATTTTTAGGTTTCCATTTAAGGATCATCCAAATCATAAACCATTGAGTCATCCAATTGATAAAATAAATAGACGAACACTGCTTCTGATGATTCACTGGAATGAATGTGATAATAGTTGAACGGCTGAATTATTTTCAATTTGGCTAATTTCATATAGGAATGTTAATCATGTCTTCGATACTATTGTTTTCTGATTTGGTTGATCATGTGTGTTGTGTGTTTGCTTAATTGACTTTTTAAACTAAGCACATAAATGATGCTCTGGGTTTTTCAATAGGTCCAGAAGCTGGTAGCACAGACAGTCGAACAAAAAAGATTTCTTCATTTCTTTTTCATCCATTTTTGCCCCTTGCTCTCTCTATTCAGCAGAATTTGTCGTTGCAGCCATCAGTTGTGAATATTCACTTCCGGAAATGAATAGTATACTTCTTAGTTGGCTACTGGCTCCTATATTTGTAAGTAGCCTTTTTGTGAAATAGGTAATCAAATGGAAATAACTGTATATTTAACATTTAAGTATATATAGATGCTATACAATGATATGTGTAAACATCAACCTTGAGGTATTATTCATGGATACTAGTGGTCGGTCAATTGCTTAAAGCCAACATTTGTTGGCCTCCCACTTGAAGGACAAGACTGGTGACAAGCCTCCTCGCTGTAGCTGCTCTCTGGTCGCGCTAGCGATTCTGGTTTGGTCGAGGCAGCCTCTGGGTTTTTCAAATTCCCCCATTTTAGTGCAAGGTGATATGAAAATTTCTTCAAGTCATTATGATGATTAAATTAAGTTTAAATAATAAAACTAAAGATTCAACAACTACAATGTAACATAAGCGTACAAATATTGTTTGGGCTTCATGTTCCCTTCTTACCCTTAAAATAGTATAATTGTATGTGTATAAAGAAGTTACCTTCGGCGAATGTGGTGAACGGTTTTATAAATTTCGATGTCAATGACATTTTTGTTTTATTTTGGTAGTTGATTTTGAAATCTCTTGATAAGATTAAATTTTCATATTTTGTCATTTTTAAAGGTTTTACTGTGACTCATAGTTGGTAGCCAACCAAGTCTTTGGAGAATGCATGGCGCACTAGAGTTTTCCTGGAATGTTTGTTTCCGGCTTTTGTTGTTTATTTTTAGTAATGTTGAGATGTATGCCTTCTCTTCTGGAGAAACACTATCACCTGACATAATATTAGCAAATTATGTCATTTTTATCTTTCCAGTCTCTAGAAACGAGATCGTGGATCTGCTTATACCCACTCCTAGCTAGCTTGGAGCTGGACCTGTTCCTTTGAAGGTCTCTTTTATGTATTCTCTACGTTATATATCGTTTCTGCCTACGAAATACCAGACGAAATAGAACGAGTTTAGAAGGGATATGATGAATTTTTTTGACCAGTTCTTCCCAGAGAAATGATTCTGTTGTAGTTATTTTTCCCAGATAAATGCTCCGTTTTAGTTATTTGATCAAAGTAATTACAATCTTGGAGCTGGACCTGGCCGTTCAACTTTCAGACCTCATACGTGTGGAAGATCTCACCCAGTGAATTGATGGAATGCCTCTCTTCTGAGTCAAATGAACATCTCTACTTTGGAAATTGGAAGAGATGAGGGGCATTTGTGAGAATATAAATTTTGCATCCAATAAGATAACTACAAGTGGACTTTTAGTGTTGCCAAAAGACAGAAATACCTTCGACCAAGAAGTGGGGAAGAACCATGCTTAGTAACAGCTAGAGAAACAGTATAAATAGACAAAGACCTTCATAACAGTATATTTTCTCATGACAAGACAATTTCGGGAGAGGAAAATTACTACATTGCATAACAATCTAACCTCGCAAAAATTTTCAGAAAAATATTGTCAAAAGTCAAGGAAATACCAGTCAACCAAGGACTTTAAACTCTCAAGCTAGATTATGAGCTTTCAAAAACTTTGAATGCAAGAATGCAGAGGTTAGGTTTACATCGGATAGCTATTGAAAACAAGATTATAGTATTCGGAAAGTGTTATTGTAGATTTTAGCACTTACTGTTTCCAAGCCAATTGACAGAGGGAATGAACCTGTGGATTCTTTGTTCGAACTGGGAGTCTGTTTCGAAAGGAAAGCCAACCAACGAGTTTGAACTTTAGGTGGGAGAATTTGTTTTCACGTTGGCTTTTACAAAATGTGGGTATTAGGGTGAGGAGTAAAGTGGTGCATTTGAAGTTTGTAAGGTCGTTTTCAGTCATAGGGCTAAATGTGGTTCAAGATTATAATTTGTCCTTCAAAATATTAATTTTTTAAAGAATAACGTAGGGCTAAATTTTTTCTATCTTCAGTCATGCAAACTATATTTTAGAGTCCTCCATATTTTATTATTTTGAGAAAAAAACTATCTTACAACACTCATACATTCCACTACTATATATTGTTTAATTTATTAAACTACTATTTAGAGATATTATTCCAGATATGACACATGTGGCACGTCTTATCAAACTTTCATGTCCATTTGGCACGTCTTATATTGAAGGAATCTTAATAATTTTTGGAATATGTTTATTATTATTATTATTTTTTAAAATCATTCTATATACATTTAAAACGTAAAAAGAGAAGGAAAAAAATAGTTAATGTTTAAAAACCAATTTTTTATATATTAAAAAAATACGAATTTAAATATATTTAAAAGGTTAAAAAAAGAGGTAAGGGCTAGCTGACGTTAGCGCGTCTTTAATATCAGCCTTTGGATCTACAATTGCACGAGATGTTCCATGCTCACACCCACACATAATACTTTTCCTTCTTTGTGCATCACATACACTGGTCCCACAAAAAAATTTAGCCTGGGCTATAGCTGGACTACAAGTGGCTTGAGAGGACGGTTAAATGGCTAAATGTGTCCCTCAAAATTTGGCAATCTTTTTTTAGTTCATGGCTGAAGATGGGTTTTGCATGTTTTGAGGGAAACATTTGGCCATGGCCATGACCAGGGACAGACAAAATATTTTTT